CTAATTAGATTATTAAATAGCTTAATATGTATTAAGTAGTAATTATTTAATAAAATTTTAGTACGTGGTTATCAAAGAAAAAAAATATATATATATATATATTTTGAATTGAAGAATTTTGAGTAAATGAATGCTGTGTGCTAAAGTAAGGTTGATATATGAATTATAAGTCAGAAGTATATAATTAATTTAAGAGTTAAATACTTGTAATCGAATTATGATGTAATTATTAAGTCAAATTAGGTATATTAAAGCAAAGCGAAAATAATAATAAAAACATTCTCATCTTTTCATAACAAAGTAATAAAAATATAAAGTAAATATTTATCCTTGTGCAGAACATCCTGAATTGCTTTAGGCGAAAATAAATAGTGGTTGCTTCTGAGCTAGGTTATTTAGTAATGCAAGTCATTAATTAGCTCATGACACAAGAACCTGGGCAGATTACTATAAATCTTGCCAAATAATAGTTAATAATGAACTTTGATATACAAAACGAAGAAATATAAGACAGAATTAGTCTATTTACTCTTTAATAATAATTACTTATATTTTCCCTGAACACCCACCATACCTTGTATTAACACTTGGCATTTGTGTGTTATGACATCTAAAGACCTGACAAAGCCGTTCTTTTGAGGTGAAGATAAAGATAACATTGAAGAGTTTCTTTTTGACTATGAGAAGTATGCGAAATTGAAAGGTTTGGACAAGGAGACCCAATGTGGGATGATTGTTATGCATATGTTAGAAGAAACGAAACCTTGGTCAGAGAACTGATAAGAATGAAAGGTACTTAGGATGAATTAAAAAACAAAATTGTGAAGATTATAAATGCTGAGAGCACTACTGTAATAAAAATAAACCAGTTAAGAAACATAAAACAAGGTGAAAAAGAGATGGTAAGAGGATATGCTAGTAGATTCAAAGCATATCTGGACCCGGTAAAAGACTCCATAAGAGAGTATAAGAAACAGAATTGGTTTCTAAATGGATTACGGGAACCATTTTGATCTAAAGTAACAATGTTTTGCCAGATATCTATAAGAAAGCTAAAGATACTGTGCTTCTAATCGAGAACTTCTAAAAGGATAGAGAGCAAATTGATGATAAAAAATATACACTTATAGTTGAAGAAAGGCCTCGATCGAATGAGACGGATGTGGAAGGTATAACTGTGGCACTAGAAGCTTTAACAATCAACTGTGTAAAGCAGGAAACAAATGAAATTAGTAGAATAGATAAACTTGAGAACAGTATGAAGAAAATGGTAAAAATGTTTAAACAATTCATAAAAAAACAGGAGACATCTGAACGTTCCAATTTCAGGAACCAAGATACAACAAAATCCCGGAAACAGAACTCTAATAACCGTCAATACTTTACTTGCCAGCAAGAGGGTCATGTTGCATGCAATTGTCTAAATAGAGTAATTCAAGAACAATCAGAACAAAAAAGTGAGCGAGAAGAGAATGATGGTGAAAGTATAAATAATAGAGATGCAAACATTTGTTATTTTGAAGTAATAGATACCTTGTCGAATGTTAGAATAGAATGTCTTAAGGTAGAAATGATAAGTGGGGAACATATTTTTAATATAAGAAATTATAATCTCAGAAAGAGAAAACATATTAGCAACAACAAAGAAACTCCGGAAACATTGGATGCTGATAAAGAGCATGAATTGAAAGAAACCAAAGATACTTCTGTATCATCCCGTGCATATGGTCCTGTAATATATATTTCTTTGAGCAAACTTAGTCAAGAATTGGATATTTTGAAGATGATAGCCAAAAAGAAAATACCATTAACCTTGAGACAACTCTTCAAGTGGTCGCCGAAAGCAAGGACTGAAGTGTTAAAGGCATTGACTAGGAATAAAAAAGAAAATGATATCATAGCGATGGATATAAGTGTTAGTGTGGTTAGGGCAATGGAGGATAATTAGAGAAAACAAGATAAAGACGTATTTATGGGTTTGGTTAAGATAAACAGAGAAACTATTGTTGCACTCATTGACCCAGGGTCACAGTTAAATCTTATACACAAAAAGTATGCTAAAAGAAAAAGTCTGAGCTGGAAGGCTGTAAAAGAAAAAGGGAGGATGGCGGACAATAGTGTTAGTGATTTCCTCAGATTTGTATCTAATGTACAAGTAGATGTAGATGGTGTCATTGTAAAACAGAGATTCTATGTAATAGCCTCAGCTAGTTTTGAAGTACTGCTAGACATGCTCTGGTTAGCCACAGCACGTTGTGATTTAAAATAGAAAAATAACCAATACTGGTATTCATTGGTATCTCCGTTTAAGGAAGTGTCATTCGTTACAATAGTGGTACCTGAAGTATAGATTAGGCAAAAAGCTGAAGACGATAATGAGCTGAGTAATGATGAAGAACTTGAGTTAATGTCGATACGAAGTATAAGTATGGCCGACTCTGAAATACGAAAATTGAAAGGAAATAATGGTAAAAGCAAAGAATGCTAATAGTTTAGTAGTAAAAGAAGTTAAACTGATTGATGAGGAACAACTTGAGAACATAAGATATAATAGTTGAGTAATTTACTAGAGAACTGAACAAAAGAATGAAGAAGGAGTAGTAAATATCGGTGGACCACAATTGATAATACGTCTTACAAAAGAGAATAGTATATTGTTGGATATTAACAAAGAAATACCAAATAGACATAAAGAATATCTTATAGAACAATTAATTAAGAAAGTTTCAGAGACTTTTGCTTTTGATTTTTCCGAGATTGGCAAAACAAAGCTAATTGAATACAAAGTACGGACTGGCGAAAAAGAAATACCGGTAACTCGAATGAGACCATTATACATCAATAATCCTGAACAAGCAATTTTATTCGAAAAACAACTTCGTAAAATGGTGAAACAAGGTTTAGTGGAAAAAGGCAACGGTCAATATGCTTATTATTGTTTTTCCAGTAAATAAGAAAAAAGGTGGAACTGATAAATTAAGAGTCGTTGGTGATATGAGACTATTGAATAAGTACATAGTAAAAGATAGTTACCCCTTGCTGGTTATACGTGATATTCTTGAAGTTGCAGTTGGGCATGACTAGTATTCTTCAGTTGATGCCTACAAAGGATACTGGCAAATCCAGATCTGAAAAGAAGACAGAGACAAAGTTGCCATTGCAACCCTGATTGGATTATTAAGATACACAGTTATGTGTATAGGGTTAAAGAACGCTAGTAAAACATTTCAGTGTCTTATGGATATAATATTAGAGGAAAAAGAATGGAGAAATATTGCGGTGGCATATCAGGATAACATGGGGCTCTAGACAGATGGGTCAATTGAAAATCATATAAAAGCATTTGTAAAATTGACTTGTCAATTCAAAGAAGCTGGGATAACATTTGCAGTAAGAAAATGTCATATTTTATATAAAGAGCTGAATATGTACGAGTTCATCATTAGCAAAGAGGGAATAAAAGTTGATCCTAAACGTGTGAAAAGAATAGTAGAATTGAGAAAACCAACCAACATTACAGAAGTACGTTCATTTTGGGGATGATAAACTATTATCGCCATTTTATAAAAAATTTCAGCAAAGTAGCAAAACCACTTACTGATTTAACGAAGCACAATGTAGGTTATCAATGGAATAATGAGCAGGATATATCGTTTCAAGCTTTGAAGGAATTGTTACAGAGTAAGGTTATGCTAAAAGCACTGAGTTAGGAAAAAGCGAAGCTTGGAGAAAGGCCTTATCAAATGTTTACTGATACTTGCGAAATATCATTGGGAGTAGTATTGGAGCAAAGTGATGATAATGAACAGCTACATCCCGTGACTTTTAAGTCAAGAAAATTAAATGAATATAAACTTAACTATATAGTGACCGAAAAGGAATGTTTGGTGGTCGTTTTTGGCTATAATATCAATAAAAGGTACGTTGGAGGAACTACGTTTAACATATGGGTAGATCATTATGCTCTGGAATGGTTGTTTAACAAGGCTATACTCAAAGAGCGTCTTATGCGATGGGTTTTGGCCCTTCAAGCATTTGACTTTCGGGTGCGCTATAAGTCGGGTAGATCTCATTGTAATGCTAATGGGATTTCAAGATATCTGAATTCACCGGAACAACAAAGTCCCACAGATAAAGAATATGTGGAGAATCTGTTAATGAGTGTGGGCACTGGTGATCATAGAGAAGAGGACTTGAATACAATAATGTGTTACTTGAAAACATGTGTCTGGCTATCAAAAGTGACAAGAGAAGATTTGCGGTACTTGTATTCAAAATTAAAATGATATTGTCTCTTGAATGATTAGCTATATCGAAGAGCAAAAAAAGATAAACTACCAAGAAGGGTATTCTTCAATGGTGTAGAGAAGAAAATGATAATAAAGGCAAACTATGAAGATTTAGCAAATGAAGGAGAACATCACAGTATTAATAGTGTTATTCAAAAAGTTTTAATGAATTACGAGTGGCATCCGGTAAACTGTATAAAGAGAACACGTAATGACGTGTATAATTTGTCAAAAATGTGACCTTAAAGTTCCGAAAGAGCCAATTCATGTTGTAGCGACAAGTTGGATTTTCTACAAATTGTTTGTGGATTATATAGGGCCAATACATCGCACCAATGCAGGGCATGAATATATCATTGTAGTGATTGAAGATCTGACAGGATTTGTGGAGGCACATGCACTCAGGAAGAAAAATGCAAAGAGTATTGTACAATTTATTTGGAATGATGTAATCACCTGGCATGGTTGTTTCGCAGAGTTAGTGTCTGATAGAGGCACTAAATTTAAAAACACTATAATGAATGAACTTACTGTACGAATAGGAGTTGACCAAAATTTTGTTGCAAGTTATCACCCTGAGGTCAATAGTAGGGCCGAAAGAACTGTTCAAAAGATTACTAAGGTACTGTGTAAAATATGTGCCAAAAAACATATATCGGCGGATTTTTGGAATTTACTATTAAAAATTCCAAAATTATTTAACTGCGAATAACTTTTAATCCACTGATCCGTTTTCGACAAAACAATTACCAAAATGTTCATCTCGGTGAGACGATTCTAATAGACACAAAATCGCCAAAATACAATCACAGGATCCCAATATATTTGATGATTTGTTTCACTTCGGGTGTTTTAGAATTGGTTTAACCAATTCTAAAACACCTGAAGTGACACAAATCTCTATCGATCTCGGGGTTCTGTGATTGGATTTTGACGATTTTGTGTCTATTAGAATCGTCTCACAGAGACGAACATTTTGGTAATTGTTTTGTCGAAAACGGACCAGTGGATCAAAAGTTATTCACTGTTAAATAATTTTAGAATTTTCAATAGTAAATTCCAAAAATCCGCCAATATGAGAATCGGTAGCATGAGTATCTTTGAGAAGTAGTGCAGTCGGGATTATTTTCATATTTGGTACTACCAAATCTAGCCAAATCTAGCTATGATCTGCATTGTACGATGATACAGAAATGTTCTAGAATTGACGAATAAAACTAAAATCTGATTGGCTAAGAGTTTAACTATAAAATGCAAAAAGTGAAAGAGCAAAGACATTACTACTGTATAGCTTTAATACTTAGTTGTAGCTTTTAAGTCCATTTAGCTTTAGCCCCAAATCCAAATTTAACATTCTATAAGTCCAAATAATAGCACTAGCAAGACGAAATCCTGGAAATTTACTACTAGATCGTAACAGCCATACAAGATTAGATTTTGGTTAACCAGATTATGAAATAATTAGCTATAACTGTCTATAGAACGTTGATCTCTCATTTCTGAACTTAAGAGAACTTTGTTTTCGAAAATTTACCAACAGTAAGTTATATAATTAAATGCTACTTTTTTTTTTCAAAAGCTTTGTGTGAGTAACATTACAATTGAAATCTTTTACGTAGAACATGAAATTAAAGAATTATTAGCGTTTATATAAATATAAGTGTTAAAGAATACTTTGACTCGTTTATTTTTATTTCTTTTTAATACAATGCAATTTATAATTCAGATTTATTTTTCTTATAGTGAATGGAATTAGGCTTTTTCTTCACCGTTTTGATCACTGTCAAGGCTTTCTAATTCTATCTCGTTTTCAAGTTCATTTTGATTATTATGTAGATCTCTAATACTTTGTAAAATTTCTAGTAACTCGCTATTAGTTTTTTGCTGTAATCCACAATACTTTGGACGATCTAAAATATTAATGGAATTTAGTAACGAATTAATAATTGCTAAAAGCTCTTTTTTCGTCATATTTTTCTCATCCATGGCTGCTGCTTCTTCCTGAGTAGTAATAGGTATTGGTCGAGATAAGGAATTTGGCTCGCTGCCTCTAAAAGTCTTATTAATAAATATTATTCACCTTTTACATGCCAGGTTACTGAAATTTTTCAGTTTTTCGCCAAGTAGATGTTCTCTTCCAAGGCTCTTAAAAGTGCGATTATCAACTTGAAGATTTAGAAAATCAGTTTGACGCAAATAAACCCAAAATTGATGTGATTCTAATGTATAATCTGGACGTATCTGACTTCCTGATGATTCATTATCTGCATGCCCGATCATATTAAATAATGTGTAACGCAGCTGATTATTATCAAAAATATGTATTATAAGTACATGTGTAAACTTCTTTTTTTTTTTGTGCAAATGTAATTTTATTAACCT